GCTCTCCTGTATCTTCTGTAACTGATTTGAGGACGTTTACACTTCAGTCCAAACATCTGTGGCTGCAATTCCACCCCCACGTGCTCACACTCCGTGTTTGCAAATGCAGGAACTTGGGTTTAAGCACAACAGGCCCAGCAGTGTATCCAAGTCTCGAGACTTTTATGCCCTACATACACTGTGGAATTTCCACAGTGCATACAAAATTATTCATGACAGAAACATTGAAGGTCCATCCTCCCCCCTCCCTCTGTGAATACCAATGAGAAACATAGCAAGTGATTTTCTTTTGCTTCCAGATCATAGTGAGGAAAGGAAATTTTAAACCAACATGTTTTGCAGGAGGGAAAGTCACTTCAAAATACTGAAGACCAGGGGTGCAAGTACATGCTTGTATTAACATCTCCCATCCCTGGAGCTGCAGTAATTTGCATGACATTATCTACCTGGGATGTTGCTATGGTTATCACCATACATAAGTAATTACCAGGGCAAATTGCACATACAGAGCACGGATTCACGCTGTCAGAAGCAAAGAATCCTTTTATAAACTTGAAAATGTACATGTTCGAAAAATCACTAATCACAAAGATTCCTGATACCAGAAAAACTTCAGGAGTGCTCCAAAATTGTTGTTAGTTATGGTTATTGACACATTAAGGACCAAGTCAGACCACGTCCAAGTGAAGAGAGACACTGCACAGGCTCAGCAGAAAATCACCAGTGGTAGTAAGCAGAAACCAATCAGCAGGAACAGTAGAAATCCCTGCCAAAGACTTTACAGTATAAGCAGATGAGAAAGGAGAAAAGCAAAAGTGGTGTATCAAACAGAGCAAATGAGATTGTCAGCTTAGTTGATAGCACAGGCCACGATTATTTTGGGTAGATTATGTCATGAACCTTTCTTCTGGAAACTAGGCACAAAAAGATGAATAGAAGAGAAGGAGGAGAGAGTGATGTAGACTACACCCATGCTAAGAGAAAGACAAGAGATATGGTGTTGTGATGAAGCAGCTAGTCAAGACAAGCCAAAACTAATTCTAATTCAAGCAGTTCTCTGAAAGTTCCCCTATTTCCTCTCCTGCAAAGTTTCTGCTGCTGTTTGCAGCCTGGGATCTGACTGTGCTCTGAGTGGTTTCCCACAGGAGCTGAGACAAAAGTTACAGCCCATCTACACTTGTACACCCAAGCTGAAGAGAGCAAAATTAACACCCAGCAGAATTTGGATGAAAGTACAAATACAGGGTATCTAATGCTAGGTCATACAAAGTAAATGAGACATTAATAGCTCATTCTGAAATACTGATACTGTTACATTTCCAACAAAATACAGCTGCACTGTAAACAGCTTGAGCTGCAATCTATTGGTGTCAATGAAAACTTTATAACAAGTTTGAAGAAAGTGTTCTGTGTCCTCAGTAAAAGACAAAGCTTTAAAAAATAGGCCTGATACTATGGCCTGAGTAAACCACATTAGGCTAACTAACTAGAATGTAAAATATAATTCTGAAAAGCACAAAATATGTTTCCATAATATAATTTGAGGTGGCATACACAAGACTCATAACCATTCAAACCAACCATATTTTCTGTGTACAGAGAAATATTGCAATTATTCCAGATTTACAAACTATAGTAGAATTGAGGAGAAAAAAATGTTATATTTTCTATTTGTAGCTTCTCTTAAAAACAAGTTCTTTTGTTTACTTAGAAATCATCTTCTTGTCTCAGACATACATTTTTACCTCCTATTAGTACCAGAATACTATAATGCCATCAAGTATTTTGACTATTTTAACAGATAGAACTAGAAAAACATACTAACTTCTTCTCTGAGAAGATCTTTGCTACTGGAAGCGTGACAAGAGCAGGTATGAGCCAGCAGGCAGTCAGAAAGCACAGCAGCCTTTAGGGATCATTTGTATGGCCTCAGGGAACTCACAATTAATGATGCCCAGAAACTGGATAAAGATGCAAGATAATCTTGTTAGGATAAAGGCAGACTGAAGACAAAGAGAGATGTGAAATAAGTCATCTCAGGCTTTATCCCCGTGACTGGATGCCCAGTAACAGTGACAGGAATGTTGTAACTCTAAATATATTTCATACAAAATAGTTTGTTGGCTTTAAATATATCAGTGAAAGGGAAAGTAAATATGTGAAGAGCAAAATGCAAGATGGAAAAAGTGAGATAAATATTGTTAGATTCAGAGGAAAAATGCTATAAACAGTAAGCAAAGCTCTTTGATTTGCACTGTTTTCCAGCCCATAAAACCCTAATATCTGCAGTGCTTCATTAAAAGCTTATGAACTACCCAGCATGCCTGTTCCTGCATAAATGTATTGCTAAAAAACATTGTCAGTGTTGCAGATCGGGTATTTTGCAATGTTTCAAAGAAACCTTATGTGTACAAAACTCAGATGCATTATTGAAAGAAGTGTGGATGGTGAAAATAGCCCCACAAACTCTAAAACTAATTAATCATTCAAGAGCAGTAAGTTTCTCTCAGAGATGTTCGAAGTAATATCTCTAAGCCAGAAAACACAAATATTTTAAGAAACAGGCATTGTGGATAAAGGACTTAAGGGATAACTACCATTTTGTGAATTGATAGAAGGCATGTCTTCACAGAGGACTGAGAGTTCAAGGTCACGACAGTCTAACAGCAAAATCTGAAAATGTTAATCTGAGTGATACAAAGATCTGGCAATGCTAAGACTGACCAGATCAACAACTGTTCTGACTGAATGTGCAGCCTATTCTCAGCATTACAATCTCAGACTTCAGCCCTCTAAGGACAAGTAATGGCAATATCATTCCTTTTTCACAAAAAGTCATATTGGATCAGTCAGATCTTTATTGTTATTACCAGTGGTCCCAAACCAAGGCTGGAGAGATCAGAACACTCACGATTTCCCATCTTTCATAAGACCACTGCATTTCAGGGCTCGTTCTCACTGGAACCCACACATAGGGCAAAATTTAAATGTTCTGATGGGCAGAACCCATATCCCTGAGGCAAAGCCTCCCAGCGTCTGGAGGCTTTCCAGTGAACGACCATGTGTGCACTTAGCCCATTCTGCATTGCTCTTACTTGTAGCTCTCCTCACAGAAGTGCCTCCAAATTGTTCTGACAACAAAACACAGAAATTCATTTCCCACATCCTTCAAATAACTTCATATCCCTCTGCTGCTAAGATCGAGCATCAAGCTGATGTTTGATTACAACACTGATGGGGTGAATGGGTGGTAAAGCCTGCCTGTTACTTATGCAAATGACTCGACTCTTAACTAGCAGCACACTCCAACACTTGTGGATATGCAAGCTAAAAATTCAACACATCAGCACAAACTCACCTCTAGAATAATGTTAAAAACAATATTATAGATGTAGGAATAGCGAGAGACAGGAATATTAGAAGACAGGAATATTAGAAGACCAAGACACAAAACAAGAGCCATATCTGAATTATTGCACAAATACGAAGAGTCCTGAATATGTTAACAAAAACTTGGTTTTGAAGGTATATGCTTAATAACAGACAAATAAACAAACCCAGTGGAAGGATTACATCTCACCAGCTTTGGAAACTCAAACACAGCTGGTCTGATCAGCTGAGGCGTTTTCAAGCTGCCACATGCATATCACAGCTCTCACTGGAGCCGTGCTCAGCCGGGGATGCACAAACACCCCCAGAGGACAGAGTGCCCAGGCCTGCCGGGCAGCTCGCGTGACTGAGCTCCAGGGGGTGCATTAGTGTTCCTCTCTGTCTGATTAAGTAACAAACCAACATATTTGACTGTTTAAATGTCTGAAATCTGCTGTTGTTGCCAAAGGTTCTGAGGAAAACCAGCACTAGCCCTGCATGGCTCTCATTAACTCTTTGCACAAGTCACAAAAGGCAGAATACAGTGCACGTGGAAATCTCCAACACCACATTTCTGCGGTCATCACAATCAAATCCTCTACCAGGCACAGCTCAGCTACACATGAGGTTTGGTTCAAAAGGAGTTCTACCAGTGCAACAACAGCACAAGGGGAAGCTGTGGTTGGGTGCAGCATCTTGCATCTCCATGTTCGTGGTACACCCAGAGGCCACATCAGACGTGCTTTATATACCCTGTGGGCTGGGCTGACAAAACAGCTGTTGCAATTTGGAATAGTAACACCCTCAGGTCCAAAGTAACAATGGACAGACTGCCTTGGTGGTGGAGCACAGTTCACCACAGCGTGAATTTAGCAACAGGGTCACTACCCTGCGATGTACTGCACACAATGACCATCTTCTCTAGTACTCTATTTCTTGAGTTGTGAATGACGTGTGTAACATAGGAAAATAAATCCTACTGGGAAAAAGAATCAATTACCTCTGCCTACAGACTTTCACAACTGTGAACAAAATAAATTTCACTTCAGGCAAAACAAACCAAAACTTTTTCTTTGCTATACGGTTTGGGCTTCCCCTCTCCTACATTTTCAGGATCCCAAGTCGGTTCCCTTACAGTGACGGTGACAGTGACCCCATCACGAAAAATATCTTTTGTGAGAGCGCTGGCAACTTTTTCTCCCCACACTTGTGGGGTACCAACACTCAAGACAGCATGGACCGGTTTGTTTGTGTTAAAATCACACATCCTTTCCCAAGCGATTTAGGATGATAGCAAAAACCATCATCGTCCTGGGGCTCTGGATGAACGAGCAGCAGCGGCGGGACAGCCCTGACCCGCTGGTTCGAGCCGCCGTGGTGTTTCTCAGGCTGAGCTCGGCGATGGCCGAGCGGAGCGACCTCTCCGCTATCCGGGCTCCCCGTGAGGGCTCTGCCCGCGGCCGCAGCCCCAGCCCCGCCGCCCGGGCCCCTGTGCGGACGTGGCGCAGCCAGGCCGGGCGCGCTGCCAATGGCCGGCCCGGGGGCGGAGCGGGCCCGGGGCTGGGCGGTGCCGGGCCGGACGGGCCGCGGAGCGGAGCAGAGCGGGGCAGCGAGAGCCGGGCCGGCGGGGCATGGCGGGCGGTGGGGCGCTGAGGGCGCTGCCCGCGCTGCTGCTGCTGCTGGCGGCGGGCGCGCTGGGCAAGCCCACGGTGCGGCAGGAGCGGGCCCGGCCCGGAGCCGCGCAGCACGAGGACCGGCCCGGCTTCCAGTACGACCACGAGGCCTTCCTAGGCAAGGAGGAGGCGCGGAGCTTCGACCAGCTCAGCCCGGAGGAGAGCCGAGAGCGCCTGGGGTGAGCGCCCGGCCCGGGCGGGAGACGTGGCAGGGGGAGGGCCCGAGGTGGGCCCGGGGCGGAGGAGACGGCCTGGGGCTGCCGGAGAGTCCGAGGGGCAGCGGGACCCTTCCCGCCCTGAGGGGCTTGTGCAGCGGCACCCGGCACGCCAGCGTGGTGCCCGGAGCCACAGTGTGGGACCCGGTACCCCAGAGTGCTGCCCTGAACCGCAGTGTGGGACCCGGTACCCCAGAGTGCTGCGCTGAACCGCACTGTGGGACCCGGTACCCCAGAGTGCTGCCCTGTACCCCAGAGTCGTGCCCTGTACCCCAGAGTGGTGCCCTGAACCTCAGTGTAGGATCCTGTACCCCAGTGTAGTGCCCTGTACTCAAGAGTGACCTGCGGATCAAACCCGGGATTCGACTTCTCTCGTAGCCCGCTGGTTTTGCAAAGGAGCCGCTAACAGTTAATTCGTGGGTTTTGACTCTCTCCTGCCTTTTCTGGCCCCACAGCTGTACCGGGTGTTGGACCTGCTGCCCGAGGGATTTGCTGCTGCAGCTCCCTGCCTCTGGGACACTTGCCCACACCATATCAGTGTTACTCGAGTTTAAACCATTCCTTCTTTACAGCTACGTTTGCAAGTCCACTTCAAGCATCTTCCCACAGCTTTCCCACTTGTGACTTCTTTGCTCGCAGTGTTTCAATTGCTGTTACTTCTATGCTGCTCTTTATGTGAAGAACAGGGACCGTGCCTTACTTTACTGCTGTCCCTCCTTTACACCTGCAGGAAGCCAGATCACTAAGCAGAACTAAATGTAATAGGAGTTGAAGAAAGATCCTTTAATGTAGTTACCATGAAGAAGATTGTTTAAAATATCTGCATATTCTCACTAATATTGCCCCTGCCTCCCCTTCCATAGGGGAGGACACTTGCTCATTTTCTGTCTAGTCCTGCCATAAGCAGTAGCACTGTAATCTCACTGAGTAACCTCTTGATCCTTCTGAAAGGTGTCACTACTATGTGTCACTGAGTAGACAAACAAAGTGATTACTAGAAATTATCAACTTCATCCTCATTGTTTCAAGAAGGAGCAAAAGAAACCATGTTCTTAGCATATATGATCTGTGACCTAGATTCTTATGAATCCTATTACCAAAATGGACGTGCCCACCTAATATTGGTCTGCACTTACTAGTACAGATAATTCAGCTGGGGATATGATTTAACAATACAGCTGTCTTTAAACAATTTTTACAAATATTAACTCAGCAAGGGAAGAAGTTTTAACTTCCAGGGATCTCACTGGTTGCTCTCTGGAGGGTGACACAGGCACGTTAAAGTACAGCCACAGTCAATAACCTTTTAAATGGGGGTGGCTGAAGTGGCCCTCTGAGGACACACTGTGGGGTGAGTACTGTGCATCACAGCATCAAGGAGGTGGTTCCTGGGGGCATTTGGGAAAGTTTCACAACTTCCAGCATTTCCCAGCCTTGTAATTTTGGATAATAGCACACTGGGAGGTAAAGAAAAGAATTAAAGAACATCTTGTGGCTTAATAATCAGATATACTGAACCTCTTTCCCCCATTTTTGTTATGGGCAACTTCTGTGGTGGGTTACAAACAGTCACTTCTCAGCAAGGGATTGGCTTTTGGGAAGAAGCAGATTTAATTAAAAACTATTTTAAAATTATTTCTGGCAGAAACCAGAAACATATAGTCTGCTGTTCTAACCTGAGTGCATGCTGCTGTATTTATAAGCCATTTTACCTTGCTTAGGAAATGTGGCAGCACATTGGTCATCCCAGTAATAACAGTAAAAAGTGAGGTCCACAGTCCATACAACAGCTTTTTATCTGTGCCTTTGGGAGCCTGTAGGGAGGACTGTTTCATTGTCTCCATCTTCAGCTGGAGAAGTGGGGTGGAATAGTGCACATGGATGCAATGGACCTATAAAAGCAGGTGAAAAGGAGGAGGCATGAAACATTTTCCAGTGCATAGTCCTGACTTATTTCATGTAACACATTGCCAAGAGCTACTAGCATAATCATTTAATACCCTAACAGTAGAAAGACCAGTTAAACAAATGAAGTTAAATTCATTGTGGGGAAGATCTGGTAACAAATAGAGTCCATCATGTAGGGAAAGGGACCACTGGCAATTGATTGATAGAAAAGAGAAAAAATTTTACAGTCAGTTAATTCACACTTTACTAATCCGGAAAGGAAATTTGGCAGCCCTCTTTTTGCTGCATAACTCAGAAACAGCATGTTTATAAATTTAATCTGATACTATCAGACTCACACAAGATTGCTGGAAGTTCAGCAGAAGCTGCTGCTATTATTTCAGCAACCACTTTTGTACCAAACACTTGGGAAGAGACATTGCTTCACTACTTGAGCAGTTCCAGTTGGCCAAGTGTGGTTTCTTTGTGGAGAATCGAGATGTGGAATTAAAAACAATGTTTAAAAGTGCAGATCTTTTTCCCTGTGTCCTGTGGCTGCCTGGAGGTTTAGGGAGCTCACCTGTTGAATGTCAAGTCAGGATTTAGACAAGTCAGCTCCTGCTCTTACCTCTGCATTCCAATGGCACGTCAGTATTCCACAGGCATGGCAGGAGCCAGCACTGAACAAGGCACAGGGCACCTGCAGACAGGCTGCCCCTGCACCCCATGGGCAGGAGGAGGGTGCTGCTGTGATCCAAAGCCAATCTGGATGTGCCAGAGAACCAAGGAGGATATTCTGGATGTCCATAATTCCAAGAGCAGGGACAGAAGCCAGTTTTACAAGCTCAGTCCCAAAATGGTGGAGTTTATCAATTGCAGAGAGATTAATTGCAGGAGATTAGTTGCAGAGAACATAAATGGTAGAGAGAGCATTGTCTTTTTTTTTTTTAACTGCAGCTGTGTGCAGTGTTTCACTCCTGCTGATTTCAACGGTGCTTGAGGCTGGCAGCTTTACCATGGTCAGAGGTTTACAGCCCAGCTGCCAGCAATGGCTGGAGACCTGCTGCTGCAGACTTGATACTGCTTTAGTGAGTCACAGGCGTTCCTGGCAGCACCAGCAATACTGGTTTCCATTGGGAATGAAAGAAAAGAAACAAGTGGAGGGACAGGCATGCAAGGGGAGACTGTACCTGGTGTACATCCCCAGCATTACACAGTCACATAACTCACTTCACCCTGGTGTCAGCCTGCTAGAAAGCCAAAGGAGAAACTGCAGATGTCCACCAAATCCTGGGCTTTTGCCCTGGCTGCCTCCAGCAAGTTTGAGTACAGGCTTTGTCCTGACGTGGAATTGGTGTCTCCTGCTCTGAGGAGCATGGCCACTCCCTGTAGGCAGTGAAGGGCAGGTCCCCCTAAGTCAGGAGGCACAACCTAGGAAAGCCAGGTGTTCCCTGCTCGCTGATTTTGGTTGTGCAAGTCCCTTTGCATTATTCATAGCAATGCTGAATAACGAAGAGAGACATATTCCTTAAGATGATGTGTAAAATGCAGGAAAGCCTTAACCAGTAGGACAGCTTTAGGAGTTTGGGGCACTCCGTTTTTGTGGAAAATCAGGGCCAGATAAAGATTACTAAAATTGGCCTGACATGCAGTTTGGATTTCTGCCAGCTCTTAAAGATGCTGATCTCTTTTTACAGGAAGATTGTGGATAGAATAGACGACAACAAAGATGGCTATATCACAACAGAGGAATTAAAAACCTGGATTAAACGAGTACAGAAACGCTACATCTATGAAAACGTGGCTAAAGTTTGGAAAGACTATGATCTAAACAAGGATGATAAAATTGCCTGGGAAGAATACAAACAAGCCACATATGGTTATTATCTAGGTAAGAGAGCAGATTGTATGATCAAGGATTTTTGAGATTATAAAATGTGATTTCTTGCCTTGCAGTCAACAGGAGTTTAGTGTCACATTTAGGACTCTTGAAGCTCACATTAAATTTTATAGATGCTCAGAGATCAAAAGCACTTTTTAGTTATTTATTGCAGCCCTTTGCACATGGGTCACCAGCACACAGAAGGTTTTGTAGAGGTATCATTAAGTATACTGACACAGCTGAATTAAAGTCTCCAGTTAGAAATATATTATTTTTTAACATAAAAAACCGGTACTTTAATTAAAAAATAATTTATTGTCTAATTAACTGTATTTGTGAATTCAGTCTCTAAAATCTTAAGTCTGGATGTTAAAAATTTCGTCTATGTCTAAGCTATAGGAAAGTTACTGATTAAAATCACTCTTGCAGAATAATATGCTTCAGACCGTGATCAACTGCAAATGAAAATCCTTAACAAATCAGGCAAAAGAAACATTTATTAAAAAATATACCTGAATTCCCTCTGCCCCCCCTCCACGTTCCCTCTGCTTTGATAAGTTAATGAAGGAAGAGGAGGAGAAGAGATCACTTAAGCTAAAGGGCAATACTGACAGAGCAACAAATCAGTATTAATTGACCATTTATACATACTGGAAATGAGAAGACAATATTTACCTACCACAGAGGCAGTTTCTAGAGCAAGCTTCATGTAGCAGTAATAATTCTAAAGTCTATCTTAGATTAAAATGGAGTTTGTTACATTTGTGAAAGGAAATATTTGACACGCAGTCCTTGCAGAATTATTCCTGGAACCCTTCTCAGCTCTTTGTTTTTGCTCCCTCTAAGCCCCAAGATTTGGAGAGGAGCATTGTGGGCTTGTGTTAATGAACACCTAAAATTCCCATCTGTAATTCCTGGCCTAGTCTTTTTCACCTGTGTTTGTCTCCCAACATATGAATTGTGAAATTGTTATGAGTATTTTTCATTTTTAAAGTCAGTTTTATGATCCTATTTTAAAAATTATATCAAATACCATTCCTTTTATGCCACTGAACACCCTGAAAAAATGTCATTGTTTTAAACTGAAAATAATTGTTAGGTTCCCTGTAGCAGAGGCGTAGCACTGAGGTAATTTTAGTCAGCCTGCCACCTTCTGAAACCACGTTTCCTTGGTTTGCTCTTCTTGAAACTGAAAAGTTGTGTGGATCATATTGATACCTAAAGAAGAAGAAAACTTCTGTGAATGAAGTCGACCCCAAATACTGCCTAAGTGGTGCTTGAAAAGGCAGATAAAAAAAATATCTGAGGGATAATATACAGATAATATACAATACTGAAAAATCCATTATTCTGGATTGCAATAGAACGCTTGCTCAGAAATTTAGGCCTACTACTGTCCCCTTTAAAAATCAAACCAAGTACTTGACCCCTGAATTTAAAACCTCATGGGGAAGAGAATTTCCCTTTAAAACAACAGCTGTTCTGGCAATAAACCTTTTTATTTCTAGACTCAAACAGCTTTGTTTTGCTAGTATGTTTTAAAGGAAAACGCTTCTGAGATCATCTTGATTCGTCTACAGAAAATCCAGAAGAATTCCAAGATGCAACTGATCAGCACAGTTTTAAGAAAATGCTGCCCAGAGATGAAAGGCGATTCAAAACTGCAGATCTGGATGGAGACTTGGCTGCCACTCGTGAAGAATTCACTGCTTTCCTTCACCCAGAGGAGTTTGAGCACATGAAAAACATTGTTGTCTTAGTAAGCAAAGCAAAATCAATGCCATTGTTTCTACTTTTATGGATGAACTTTGAAGGCTTCTCTAACCTTTCCAGGCAGGGTTTAGAACAAGACACACACATAAAAGCTAAATGGGGAACAGAAAAGTGTGCCTTTCATGATACTCACTTGGTTTAGAAGTCTCAATATAAGAAAGACTTTTTAAGTGCACTTAGCTCCTAAATGGGATCAAGAAACAATCTTGGGGCACAAACTTAAACCAAAATAAAAGCAGGGTGTGCTGACATGCAGCAGCTGAGTGTTTTGTGCAAGCTGGTATCTGCTCCTAACATAAGCAGTTCCTTCCTACAGGGAATCTTTTCAACATGAAAGGATATTTGTATATTCATTGTGTAACAACAGTCACACTGGATGTAGTAAGACTACATTCACTTGTGTACAGGGACAGGTCAGGGCCTCAGAACATTAAATGATCAAAGGCAGGTAGTCAGAGATCTCAGATTTTTTTTGATTAATGCAAAATTGTTTTCCAGGAAACCTTAGAAGACATAGACAAAAATGAGGATGGTTTTGTGGATCAGGATGAGTACATTGGTAAGTGTTGTTACTTGTTTCTTAATTAATCCCCAGTCCGTTTTTCCATCTTCTCTCAAATTTACATCAGCATTAACAACCCAGAGTGAACACTTCTGTGTTCCAGTTCAACTATTTTACACCAACTGTCCAACCCAGAAAGTTTAATTTCATTTCAGGTAGATAGCAACATGACCAGGAAAAGTTCCTCATGTGTCACAGCACAAAATTCTCCTCTTGTCCTCATTTAACTCAGCTAAGAGTTATGTGAGAACAAAAGAAGAGAATCTGGAATAATATTTTTCATGGCAGGGATATAAACAGGAGGATCAGAAAATGAGTTTATCTTTTCCCAAGTTTGGATGGTTCTCAAATACCCAAAACACCTGGGAAGCCACCATTGCAAAAAGGGAAAATTCACCATGTTCTTACTGGTTTTTTTTCCTAGTTTAATTAGTAAGTAAAGCCCATACTTCTGTAGTGATGATACCATTATATTTTGATGAGTTTTAAATGCAGAAAGTAGCACTAAGAAGGTATTAGTGCAAAGCTGGATGAACCTTTCTGTTTCTAGTGGTGCTATAAAGATCACTTCACATGGAATCAGGAACAATATACACACGCTAATTAATGGCAGGGGGTTCTGTTCCTTGTAAATTATATTTAGCCCAGAAAGTGAATGCTATTCATCTATGACTGAAATAACAGAGCAGCATAATTTCCACAGTAATTTCAGTTCATTCAGTGACATTACCTACATATAATTATAAGGTAATTGTCAACATTTGTTACCATGTGAATGCTGGTTTTTCTTGTCTTCTATAGATAGGAACATAGAATGTTCTAGTCACGATCACCCCACATTGGCAAGGATGATAAAAATCAAATTGACAGGACATGTCAGTTGCTTCAAATAAACAATATAATTTGCACTTTAAAAAATGAAAAAAAGAAAGTGAATGTGTTGTCTGAAGTTTTCTTCATGAGTTGAGAAAACTATGCTTAAAATATTCCTACTTTCCTTTTTCAGATGTAATTTTTTTTAATTTTGATGAAGTTGGGATTAAGAAACCAACAGAAAACTAAATCTCTTCTAGTTTATAAGGAACAACAAAAAGAAGTAAAAAATTTCAATCTCTAAAAGGAGTATATGTTGGGGAGATTTGCTGAAGCTTATAGAATGATCCCACCCTCCTTTTCCTTCTTTCCTCCCCTTTTGTCTTTTACAAAATTTGGTTTAGATTTACACAAGTAGTGGAGCAAAATACCTGTAAAAGTGTTGAGCAGAGAGAGCTAAATTCTCACTGTGCCTGGGCAGGTAACAGAGTATTTCAGGGACACTGGGGGCAGTGACAATGGGGAACCTCAGCCCAGTGTGCACACTCACACTGCAGGGTCAGGGGGGTTGTTCCTGCCTTTGAATTCAGCATTTATGTTTCCCACAGATACCAGCCAGCCTCTGACCCTCACACCATCCATGTTGAGGGTACACTTCTCCTTAGCACAGCCTTGAAAACCAAAAAGCACTGGGGAGGAATAGTATCACAAAACAGACTTTCATTCTAAGGCTTGAGGAATCAGCAGTCCTGATGAGCAGGAAAGGATTGGCCACAGGGACCAGAGGAATGACATGGACACACCACTCATTTGGAGAGCCCTGTGATGTAAAGAACATTTAGAAGTCAGTTGGTTTTAATAATCACTGCTATTCTGTGTTATGCAGAAAGCAGCTGCCACTGTGGCGTGGTCCTTCCAAAATATAGCACAGGAGTGATGTGCAGAGCAGCTCGTGTGTGTAATCTCTGCATCCTGTCACAAACGGTGCTCCCTCCCCAGGTACCAATCTGTGACAAGCACACTGTGCCTGTGGTTCCTCACAGAAGGCACCATGATTCATGACTTCTCCAGCTCTGTGTTTCTGGAAGAGTGTCTTCTACTGGAATGTGCTGCAGCACTGCATGGTTAAAAGAGAACTGATCTGCTAAGCTGAATGTCTCTTACACGGACTTCTCTAAAAGCAGTACAAATGCATGCAAGTTCCATTTAGCAATTTTTGTTTGCCTAAATTTCCCCTGTGCCTTTTTTTCCTGTAATCACTCTGCTGGCTGGAGTCTGATCTTATCCACAAAGACATTTGCTGGCAGGGACAAGATAAAATGGCTTTCTCCCCATGTGACCGAGCCTAGCACTAAAGCTTATGACTGCTATTCAACCAGAGATCCTTAGAGGATTTTGTTTGAGATTCAGACAATGGCCTGTGAACATGTTCACCTCTCCTGTTAGCCCCACCACAGCAGTGCACAGGTATGATACAGGGTAATGTGAGAATGGGCAGAATCACCAGCAGTGAAGAAATAGGCCTGAGAGAAGATAGAGCTACTCTCTTTATACCCCACATTTCTTTTTCTGTGCAAAGTGAAAAGTTCAATCTCCTCTGAGGAGCACTGTGAAAATATCTTCAGTTTGTACTTAATTTGCAAAGTAAGTAAGACTCGAACAAGACCCTTATTTCCTCTCCAGCTGATATGTTTGCAAATGAAGAGGGTGGACCAGAGCCTGACTGGGTGATTACAGAGCGTGAGCAGTTTTCAGATTTTCGTGATCTCAACAAGGATGGAAAGATGGACAAAGATGAGATCCAGCACTGGATCCTCCCCCAAGACTATGATCATGCACTAGCTGAAGCCAGACACTTAGTCTATGAATCTGATGTAGACAAGGTATGTGGTGTTCCAGTATTGTTTTTAAAGAAGTTATATAAGGTGTTGTGGGTTTTTTTAAATAGCAGCTTGCAAGAATTTATTCCTAATAACTTTTCATTAGAGGCTAGAATTGCTAGTGGACTAATGTTTCCATGCCAGTTTCAGTTGGTACTGTTAGAATTACAAAGTAGTAAAACACAGTTTATCAGCTCTAGAAGTTCTCCTGGGTTTCATTAAGTGAGATGAGAAAGTGTTGTCTTAAGCCTGGACGTTTTAACACAGCAAAACCTTAAAGAGTGGTCATGAGTTTTATATCTTGATATAGACTAAAAGAGGACAATAAAGCTACATTTAGATACCCCTTGTACTCAAATGTAGGGGTAACAAGACCACTCTCAGTTCTATATTCAAGCACATATCTTCCACCTAAACACTGGCTCTGATGGGGGCAGTATATTCCAGATGGTGGTCTTCAGAAGCATAATGCAAGCAAGCTTGGAACCTGAAAGCCAAAATACTCTTAACACAGAAGGTGTAAATTGCTCATGTAAGCACCCATCTTCCACAAAGTGCACCAGAGAATTTTCGTTTTTACTGTCAGGAAGGTGAACCAAACCCCAGGGCAAAACTGTGTACCAGGTGATCCAGTGTTAACCTACTGTTCCTACTGCTTGGCAATGAGATCATTACAATGAACTTTCAATTAGCACTTTGAAGCCTGAACTGAAGCCTATGGGATTTCTGTCTTCCTCTGGGGTCCAAATTTCCCTCACTGTGACAGCTACAAAAAATGATTGCTGAACCTGCAGTCTGCTGCTGTGAAGAACTGTCTGTTTCCCAGGGCTCTTGCAAGTCTATGCTGCTGTGTCTTTGACTTAGTTTTGAAAATATTCTTACAGACGTTTTGTTTTCCTCCTACCAGGATCAAAAACTAACAAAAGAAGAAGTTCTAGACAACTGGAATATGTTCGTTGGAAGTCAAGCTACTAATTATGGGGAAGACCTCACTAGAAACCATGATGAACTATGATACAATGTACCAGCTGGTGTGCCACACATCTTTTCTCCACTTTACTGAAATCACCGTGTCCATCCCTCTTAGAGGGAAGATGGGCAAGGGACACTCACGAGGGAATGACTTGCATTAATATTATTTTTAACATGCCAGCTTATTACCTCAGAAACCATGTAGAAATAGCTTTTTTACTCCTTTCACATGGTTAAATACAGTATATAATTACTACAGTTTTATTTTTGAATAAATAAGAAGGTAACTTTCCTGAATAGGTTAGAGCCTGACATGGAAAAGGCACTTCTAAAAACATTGCAAAGATCTTTAATAGCCAAGTATTTTCTTCCAGTACCCGCTTTTGCCATAGTGAAATGCACCTAGGATTAGAGCCCTAATGTTTAAACAGACTTAAGTTATTTGGTTGTCTTTTCTAATAGCATGTAACAGTTTAGAGGTAACCCTGTGAGCCTCCTACCCAGAGAAGAGTTTGATACCAGCTTTGTCTCCACACAGTTTCTGTGTCCCCGTTGGGTCAGTGGTGCTGCAGGAGTGTCCAGCAGCCCCCTGGCTCCTGCTTTGATGTGCAGGATGCACAGTGGCCCTTGTCCCTGACCCTGGCATTCCCAGCCAGGGATGCAGGGTCCAGCGTGGCAGCTGCTCCTCCTGACAACAGGGACACCTACAAGTGTTTGTGGGCCCTGGGCTTTGCTGCTTCCTGGGAGGAATTGTGCCACATGGAGCATAATTTATCTCCCTCTTTTCACACTTTACCCGAGCCCTGCTCTTGTTCACACAGTGTGAATGGCAGCAGTTCTGTGATGGAGAAAGAATGAGACATATCACCCCTCTGGGCCTTCTGTCTCCTCTGCCACAGAAGAGGACAGATTTTTGTGGCTGAAGTTCTGGCTTTGAGTGTATATACGTATAAATACATGTTACTGAAGCAACTCTAAAGACAGCTCTCCTTCCAAAAAAGGGGGAAAGCTTTCCACACAGGTGCTTTCTTTTTTACTGTATAATGTGAGTTGTTACATGTATATTTTTATATACCCAACTTAGATGAGTTTGGTTGGTTTTAAATGTACTGGTTTTAAAATAAGCACAATAAAACCAAGACTTCTTTTTGATACTGTGAAGGTGCAATAAGAGTAACACAGATTAGCAGAGAGATGGTGTGAAAACACAAACCAAGCCTCTAAAGCCAGTAGTTCCCAAAGCACTGGGGTGGTTATTTCCAAAAGCATCTGGACATACAGCACCAACTGTTCTTTGTTGCCTCATTAAATAAAAAAAGAAAAGCCAAAAAGAAGTGCGGTGTACATAGTTGCTGTAACTAGAATTTGTTCTGGACACTAATACTGGGAGATCAGGACTCCACAACAGTATATGAACCTCTGGGAGGTTCCTGGAAGGTTTGGTGTAAAACATCACACCCTGGTCCCATAACCATCCAGAGGGGAGCTTTGAGACTCCCAGGATGTGAGACACTTCAGCAGTTCAACACATTTGTGAAAATCATCAGGAGACAGTGCAGGACTGTGACCTCTATAAACAGTGTCATCTTTATAAGGTCATAGAAGAACCACGGTGGAATATTTTCTATCTTGCAGTTGAAGATAATTAAATCTAGATTGCTGAGTCTGACAGAGATTACATGTGTTTGCTGGCACCACTGCTAAGCTTTTGGGGTGTACTTCTTATGACATTGCCAGCAATGTCTCTGAAAAATCCCTGCCTCTCCCACTAACATACAGTAGGGCAAATGTCATAAAAGTGAACTGGTTTTGCTTTTACAGTACCCTCAAGTTAAATAAAAAACTAAATGCAGTGTTATCTGGGAAGCAATAAAATTGTATCTTGGCACATGTAAATGATTATATATTTTGTTTATGGCTTGGATTTGGAAAGGTTTATTGTACTCAATAATCCTGACAATCTTTATCAAACTAACATATTTTGCTAACAGATTTTCAGTACTATCTATGTACTCAGATTATCTTCTGCTGTTTCAGGAAACAATACCTTAAAAGACCTCAAAAATCCCTTGTTTCCTGCAAGTGAAACTGCAGCTCAGACTGGATAGTAAGCCAAGGATTTTCACTGGAGCCCAGGGGAAGGTTGTTTGCTCACTCTTGTTGAAATTCAGGGGGAGTTGGGTGCTGAGACACTAAGCATTTTTGCCCTCAGCTAAACATGACACTTCTGAATGCACTGTGCACTGTCCCAACAAAAAAACCCACATCTGTGCTTTGACAAGCAATCACATTTTCTTCCACATTACTAAATGAATTTGGAACAAAATTAGCAGCACGCAAATGAAAAATTGTGTTCTCATATTTGTTCTTGATTCCTGTCACTGCTTGGAACACGTTGATATTTTCCAGGATAAAAGTACACTTACGTGAGTAAGAATGCTGAAATCAGTTTTTCACACAAACAGTAACTGAAAAATTAGATCCATAAAAAGGTTTTATTTTTTTTTCCCAAAAGAATGGTACTCAGGTAGCATATATCCAGCTAGGAAAAAGGCAAACATGCCAATTAGAATGCGGTTTAAAATAATCAAATTATTTATCAATAGTGGGTAATGGGGTCATATTAAAATCAGGAGCTTTTAAAATAAAGTAGAATATAGAAACAGTTTTAGAGAACCCTAAAGTATCCCTGATGTGATTTCATTTTAAAGGCTCCCATGTTTCTACAGTTCTTCATGGTGTTTCTCTTAGCAACGTTCAGTAATGGCACAGTCCATTCCATGCACTAAATTTCCCTTTCAAGCTCAATGCACTATGGAAGAGTAACTCCAAAAGAGACTAGAGCTTCTGGGTTTAAATTTAACACTATTTAAGGAAAGCAAACCTTTGCTAGGGGATATAACTGTTAACATTGTGATTTTTCAAGCCTAAGGTTTCTAATGGGGTTTGACTGTTCCAGAGATAACATTTTTTTTCCTAGGTAACATATTTCAACTCATATTATGAGCAAACATTACAAAATTTTAGTGTAATATGAAATACTGTAATGTCAGATAGCATTATTTATCTGCTTAATATGACTAAAACCATTAATTGCTGGGAGCCATACTTCATCCCAACAACATGAAAATCCATTTTGTGCCTATCTTGTCAGTTATTGCCGATTTTCTTAATCAATTGTGACACAATGAAATTCTGTTGGGGAAGCGTGTTTATGTATTTCCAACTGCAGGTTCTGTGTGGTAACTTATTACATAGATCCTCCATTAACTCAGTGTTTTCACTGTGCCTGTGCCACAATACATCAAAGGTGCATTTTTTCTTACTTAGATTATCTGGAATACCCATTATTATTGCCCATGCAATTTTAATTATTGGAATTTAGGAAATGAGCTAAGTGGGTAATGTTCATTGTCTTATAATTCCATTTAATGATTCAATCAGGTTGAATCTGTCTCCTATTCCAATAATAGTTACTGTACATAACTCCCTAAAGAAAGCAGATCACAGCCCATCCTGCTCTCCTTACACTTACACAAGTACCTTAATATAGTTGCATAATGTTTTATTATTTGCTGTGCTTCCCAGTGAAGTTATCATGAACTCCTAGTTCTAAGGAATATAAGAGCTACTGTAAGGCCTAGTCTAAGGCCTTGGCCACCCAAAGGCAAGCAGAGCAATGGGCTGGTGGGACTGGAGGTCAGAAATAACCATACAAGCATCAGATCCTGATCTCCTTACTACTACTGAGCACTAACATTTAGGAATTAGACTGATTCATACTCCTGTGGGATAGTTAGGGTGTGAATCTCCTTCGTGGAAGGCAGTGTGTAAAGCCTTAGTGGTCTGTTCACGGAGCCTGAGGCATTCTATTGAGTCATGGTGCCATCACTCTTAGCAAATGAAGTGAGTTTTACAGAGTGACAGAAGGATCTACAAAAAAATATTTCCTAGCAAAACCTGCCTTGGCCTGTAGTCGAGCACTTGGAAGCATCCACAGCTTCTCTTTTCACTGCTCCAGTTTAGTGTGTGCTGGGTTCCATGCAGTCCATCCAGCAAGCACATATTAACCACATTCACTGGTTTCAAAGGGACAATTGAGGCTTATTTCCCACTGGGGTTTCAGGGCACCAGTAAGGCTGATGTCTCTGACATTCAAGTGCTGTATAGATTATCCCAGTCATGATGAATTTCAAAGCAACCTCAGAAGAACCAGTTACCAGCTTTGTGCTGGTGTGAAACAGTGAATGAGGGGCACAGTGCATGTGACACAACAGGTGATTCCACACCTGCATTCCTCTCCACAGGATAAATGAAGACATCTCCAACAGATGGGAGCATTTCTTCACTCTGGCAGTGACAAGAATACAATTATCCTGGGTGTGCATTACTATTCCTATTGATGAGTAAGGGATATCCATCCTCAGCACAATTGCTGGCTCTGAGGGCAACAGAGGCAACAGAACTCAGTTTTATATATTGCATATTAGTTTATTTCCCTGTGGAAGAATTTATTTCATAATCATAAAGGGTCCAAATATGGTCTGGTTGGCTAACTTTTGAAGTTTTTAGTATTTTTAAATATTTCTTAGTTGGCCACATTTATGGTCTGAAACTACCACGTACCTGAAATTCAGAACAACTGTATAGAACAAACCATGGCATGATTCCGAATCTGAGCACTAATTAAGGGTGACACATATGTTAGAAATGACGATGTTCCATCATATCAACAAGAATTTAGATATGCATCAAAATGCATAGGAAATATTTTCTTCATGTAGGAATAGCCTGACAGCCTTTAAAAAGGACCAAAGTGAGCACTAAAGATGAAAAATTAGTATAGCTTTTGAAAACACACCTTGAAGTAATTGCTGTACTTACTGAACCCTCAAGTGCCTGATGTTCTCAGGGCTTCTCAAGACACACTTTCTGTTTGGATAAAAGTCAGTGAATTTAATGTTTCAGGAAGAAATGAAAGTGAGGATGAGCTTTTATCATTAGATCAACTGTAAGATAACACAGACATACAGAACACAGTATTGACGAGATGGACAGGTCAGAGACATCCCCCCAAATTACTCCCAATGCCCCCCTCCAGCTGTAATTTAAATATGGCTTTTACTGCATCACAGGGGGGGCCTTGGTTACTGGGACACAAAAGGAAGGAATGCTAGTTGAGAACCCATCAAATGACAAGGGCAACAGATTTCAGATGGTTAAAACTCCCTGAAATCTTTACATGGTTACATGTAGGTGAGACATTTTAAAATCATAGGGAGCATCTTTTTTAGAGGGTGAATTCACAAGGAAATTCCATGATCAGCAGGAATGAAGTAAAAGAATGCTGGAGAGGTGTCCTAGATTGTAACAAAACCAAAAGCTTCTCTTCATTCCTGCTTTTAGTTTTGCAGATTTTGCATCAATTCCTC